TTTAGAGTCCAAAAGCAGAAGGATTCCCTAGGTGGGTTCCGGCTTTGCGTCTCATACAAGGAGGCATGACGGTTTGGAGCTTCATGGCTTTGCCCAAGATCCGCTTGACGAACCCTCCTAAACCCCAAACCCTCTAAACCCTAAACCCTGGAACCCTGAACCCTGAACCCTCAACGCTAAACCTTGAAACCTGAACGCCCACGAAACCCCCGAAACCCCAGAGCGAAACGCTATTATAGGGGCGCCCATATGTTGAGGGTTCAGTACGTGAGGGTCGAGATATGGAGGGACTTTAAGAGGATACTAGTACTAAGTATTCGGACCTCTGCACATCAGGTCTTGATTGGGTTCAGGCTCTATGGGGGAGCAGCTTAAAGGCTTTGGCTTAGGGTTTATTAGGGTTTATGGGTTTTAGGGTTTAGGGTGTGGTACTTATAAGGGCTGGGGGCTAGCTAGAGGGCACTCGCGGCTAGGGGTACCAAAGGGGTCGGAACGACGAGTCATGACATATACCCTTTTCGTTAAAAACAAGCTTAAAACTGCCCTGCTGTATACACTTCTATATGGTCCGAATCTGATACCCCGTAGATCACCCTAAGACTCTAAACCCTAAACCCGAAACCCACCGTGGATCACCCTAAGACTCTAGACCCTAAACCCGAAACCCACCGTGGATCACACTAAGACTCTAGACCCTAAGCCCTAAACCCACCGTAGATCACCGTCGGACGCTATAAACACGCCATACAGCTCTATTGCTCAAGCCCGAGGCCAACATTAATCGGAACCTCGAAGAGTTTACTAAAGGGGCCTTCATTCTTAGAATTGGGGTTTAGGGTTTCGGGTTACTTAGAACAGGGCTTTGGGGTATGTTACAATATACTTTGAAAAAAAGAACCCTGAGGAACGGCTTATAAGTATTTATTCAGACTTCTAAACCCTAAACCCTAAACCCCTAAACCCTAAACCCTAAACCCCTAAACCCCTAAACCCCTAAACCCTAAATCCTAAACCCTAAACCCCTATTCAGACTTCTCTATGAAGCACTGAGGGCTCGGCTCGCTCTGGCGCTCCAAGAACTGGTCCACGCGGGCCTGCGGAAAGCTTAGCACAGGGGAGCCTTGGACCCAAAGAAGCCGATGGCTCGGGAGTTGAAGCTTAAGCTTTAGGGTTTGGGTTTCGGGTTTAGGAATAGGATTTACAATGATTTATAGGGTTCACGGATTCGGGAAACACCAAGACCCGAAAGCTCCTCAACCCTACCTTAAGAACCCAAAACTCACTTTTTTTGTAGGTTCTTATTATAAACCCTAATATGGGATTTATAGGGACCCTACAAAAAAAGTAGGCTTTGGGTTCTTAAGGTAAACCCCAAACCTCTAAGACCCCCTCTCAGAAGCCTCCGCCGCAGGATTCTTCGAGCGGACGCGGCCCTGGCAGAGCGGTGGACTCTTCAAAAGGGCGTTTTAGGGTTTAGGGTTTAGGGTTTAGGGGCAGGCTCTTTCCTTGCAGCTGAGGCGGGAGTCAGGGTTAGTAATTATCTTGGGGCTTCAGGATTTCAGAGTCAAGGGTTCATGGTTCAGTGCGCGCGCGTGTGTGTGTGTGTGACGTAGTGTCTTTACCCTCATAGAACTTGAGATGGAGGCACTGAAGGTACGAAATCGCTTTCCGCTAGTCGTCTGGACTGTAGGCAATGACGCTAAATGTCCTGCGCATGTGCAACCTCAACGTCCTATTTATAATCACCATCATCCCTAAACACGACAAAGTACTGTTGGGGGGTCCTGTACAATCTAAATATACTGATTGTGTTTCGGAATCAAAGCGCAATGTCAAATCCTCCAACCGACATGCAAGTCCAATGGCGTAGGATATACCTGACCTGTACCCTGACCCAAAACTCAAAACCCAATTTCTCTTCCTTGTCCTACTAAGTTATTGCTACCACTACGACGACGACTACTACGACGACGACACCACCACCGCCGCTATTACTACGAAGACGACTACAACTCCTGCGACAGCACCGCCACCGCCACCTCCACCCCACCACTACCACCGCAAACAACGACGTTGACGATGTTGGCACAACAGTCACACCTGAAAGACATCAACAAGAACGCGAAACGTAAGTCCAGGCCAAAAACTATCATGCAAACGAGCAATCCGTCAAGCAAGCAACCCCGTGAACAGGCAACCATTGATGGCAGCTGTAGCAATGTAAATGAGCGTTGATCAATATTCTTGTTTCTGGAAATGGTTTCTTCGC